ATGCATAAATTTATTATAAACAAAACAAGTTTTAATAATCAATGAATGACTGAAAGCAAGTTCTTACAATAATACACTTTTCTTAGTATTATTTGGATATCTTTAATAAAAAGTTCAATCTAAAAAGTGGTTCTGAGGTAATTTGTTAGTCCAGTTAAATTAAAAGCAGAGTGATCAGCCTTAAGGTTATAGTAACCGTTTTGGGGGGATTCCAACAGAATAATATTGATACATATTCTTGAAAGGCATAGAATGATTATGGACCTTACTAGGAAGATGTTCTAGGAAATTTGAAACTACATTGATGAGAAAAAGGCTAAGGAAGTTGTGCCCAAGAATTGGTTTCTATCATCCAGTGAACCAGCTCATTCTTCAATGGTAGCAAGGTCTGTCCTACAAGAATTTCACTGGAAAACCTTACCCCCATCTACCCTACAATACTGATCTGATACCTTCAGACTTCTTTTTGTTCACAAAACTTAAAATAATATTTAAAAGGACATTATTTAAGTTCCTCAAGGATGCCAAAACTGGTGTTTGATGTGGTGTACATGAAAGAGTCTGAGATTCTTTGGGGAGGGGTTACAGAGATGGAAACATGACCTTCAGAGGTGTATAGACCTAGATGGAGGATATGTCTAGAAACAATCACTTCACATTTTGATATTTTTGCTTAATAAAAGGTGGTCTATGATTTTGGAGCAATAATTTTTTGACCTACCCTTGTGTAGCAAATAGAATCTTAAGTTTAATTACTTAAAGTATTTTTTTCCCCATTCTTAGTGACCCTATAGGACAAGGTAGATTACCCACAGGGTGTCCTAGGCTGTAATGTTTAAAAGGAGTGGACTTCAAGGTTTTTATCTCTCATGGAATGGCTGGTGGTTCATTGTACCACCAGGGATCCCATGAGTCAAATTCAACTCAACTACATTTGGTTAATAACCCAAGCCAAACTTGTTAGTTTAATTTTTATATACCAATACCTATTGAGTTTTCTGTGCCTTGTCAAATTTTCAGATACTGCCTTGGAAGCATATACAATTATTATGCATTGTTTTATTCATTTTACCAAATGAATGTACATTTTTAGAAATAATATCAAGATTTGGAATGCTCTGCACACTTTACAGCACTTTTTATTGTGACTAAACACAATTAGTAATATTCTACACTAATGCTTAACTGGTAGCGTAGTGGTTACGAATCGGGCTGCAAACCTTACGGTCAGCGGTTCGAAACTACCAGCCGCTCCGCGGGAGAAAGATGAGGCTTTCTACTCCCGTAAAGATTTACACC